ACTCAAATGAGCATGACCACGGCTGCGTCTTCCCTGCGCCGGCGGATAGAAGTGCCAGTTACGCGTGCCTCCTCTTGCGCCCACGCGAGCGCCCTGGCCAGGCGTTAGTCACCCTCCCACCACATTCCCTGCCACTCGTCGACACCACGTTCCCCGACTTTCATGCCGAGCATGGGGCACGCCTAAGATCAGCATTGCCGAACTGGCGTCTGGGCTCCGTGATACTTCCGACTTTACTTGTGATACTGATACTAGATACTTCCGGCTACGGCACGCCACGGCCGAGAGGTGTGGGGCACGAGACGCGCCTGTGTGCAGCGTTGTCTTGCGGAATCTCACTGTTCTCGCCCTGATTTCCTGAGGCCCATGACCACCATCGAGAGCACACTCATGGGCACCCGTCAGTGATTACGCGTGGGAAAATGGCTTCCAGTCGCCAGAGCGGATGCTTAGGTTTGCAGCATTTTGCCGAAGCGCCATCACTTTGAGAGGATCCACAGGTAGGGACACAGCGACCAGCCAATCGGCTCAACGGACGCTGCAGCGGGTGCATGGACGGGCTGAATGTGGAGATTATCCGGAGCACGACGAGAATGCTGTCAGTACCGGCCACCGTCAGTTCCACCGGCACTCACAGCATGCCGGTGGTCGACTTGTGCGGTGAAAAGGCTCACGAGATTCCGTTTGTGAGGTTGGTCAGTGCCGCGAGAGAGAAAATTACAGGATGACGTCCGTGGCGAGGTGCATTGCCGGCTCAAATAAGTCACAGTGTTGTATATAACACCGGGCGGCGTGTCAGCCCCAGGGCAGCGTCATGTCAGACCCAGGGCCGCGTCATGTCAGACCCAGGGCCGCGTCATGTCAGACCCAGGGCCGCGTCATGTCAGCCCCAGGGCAGCGTCATGTCAGCCCCAGGGCCGCGTCATGTCAGACCCAGGGCCGCGTCATGTCAGCCCCAGGGCCGCGTCATGTCAGCCCCAGGGCAGCGTCATGTCAGACCCAGGGTCACGTCATGTCAGACCCAGGGCAGCGTCATGTCAGCCCCAGGGCCGCGTCATGTCAGCTCCAGGGCCGCGTCATGTCAGCCCCAGGGCCGCGTCATGTCAGCCCCAGGGCCGCGTCATGTCAGACCCAGGGCCGCGTCATGTCAGCCCCAGGGCCGCGTCATGTCAGACCCAGGGCAGCGTCGTGTCAGCCCCAGGGCCGCGTCATGTCAGACCCAGGGCAGCGTCATGTCAGCCCCAGGGCCGCGTCATGTCAGACCCAGGGCCGCGTCATGTCAGCCCCAGGGCCGCGTCATGTCAGCCCCAGGGCAGCGTCATGTCAGACCCAGGGTCACGTCATGTCAGACCCAGGGCAGCGTCATGTCAGCCCCAGGGCAGCGTCATGTCAGCTCCAGGGCCGCGTCATGTCAGCCCCAGGGCCGCGTCATGTCAGCCCCAGGGCCGCGTCATGTCAGACCCAGGGCAGCGTCATGTCAGCCCCAGGGCCGCGTCATGTCAGACCCAGGGCAGCGTCGTGTCAGCCCCAGGGCCGCGTCATGTCAGACCCAGGGCAGCGTCATGTCAGACCCAGGGCCACGTCATGTCAGACCCAGGGCCACGTCATGTTAGCCCCAGGGCCGCGTCGTGTCAGACCCAGGGCCACGTCATGTCAGACCCAGGGTCGCGTCATGTCAGACCCAGGGCCGCGTCATGTCAGCTCCAGGGCAGCGTCGTGTCAGACCCAGGGCAGCGTCATGTCAGCCCCAGGGCCGCGTCATGTCAGACCCAGGGTAGCGTCGTGTCAGCCCCAGGGCCGCGTCATGTCAGACCCAGGGCAGCGTCATGTCAACCTCAGGGTCACGTTATGTCAGACCCAGGGCCGCGTCATGTCAGCCCCAGGGTCACGTCATGTCAGCTCCAGGGCCGCGTCATGTCAGCCCCAGTGTCACGTCATGTCAGACCCAGGGCCGCGTCATGTCAGACCCAGGGCCGCGTCATGTCAGCCCCAGGGTCACGTCATGTCAGACCCAGGGCGCGTCATGTTAGCCCCAGGGCAGCGTCATGTCAGCCCCAGGGCCGCGTCATGTCAGCACCAGGGCCGCGTCATGTCAACCCCAGGGTCACGTCATGTCAGCCCAGGGCCGCGTCATGTCAGCTCCAGGGCCGCGTCATGTCAGCCCCAGGGTCACGTCATGTCAGACCCAGGGCACGTCATGTTAGCCCCAGGGCCGCGTCATGTCAGACCCAGGGCCGCGTCATGTCAGCCCCAGGGCCGCGTCATGTCAGACCCAGGGCCACGTCATGTTAGCCCCAGGGCCGCGTCATGTCAGACCCAGGGCCGCGTCATGTCAGACCCAGGGCCGCATCATGTCAGCCCCAGGGTCACGTCATGTTAGCCCCAGGACCGCGTCACGTCAGACCCAGGACCGCATCATGTCATGACCGAGACCCAGCCGTCGTCTGGAATGGGGACGGAGGCTGCAGGTCATAGCCTGATCAGCAGTACAAACGGCAGCGGCACCGTTTCGCTCAGTCCGTAGGATCAGGTGTGCAATTTCGGTATAAGTAAGGCCTTTAACACTTGAATTTTCGGAATCGTGATTTACTTCATAGTTTTCATACTGAGTTGTCATTTGGATATGATATGCCAAAAAAATGCCGGTTAAGCAACGCATTAGAGCAATCATTGGCTACATTGCCAACCATGACGTTTAAGCCGTGCTTACCTATGCCCACTCGCAATCATAATCGCGAGTTGAAACGTCGAGCGGTGTCAAATAACTAATGTTTGCTCTATAACGTCGCTTAAACAGCGCCTCCGAACATGCTGAATGCCGACAGCCCAGCATAGGAACTTTCTAACTCATAATGCCGTCATGCCGTTGAGAAGTTTTTTGGTTCAGGAAGCCTGTACAACATCCATGCATTCGGCTTCCCGTTTGCTAGCTAGCTGGCGGCCGCTGCCCCCCCCCCCCCCCCCCTCTTTCGCTTGCACCTCAAGCGCCGGTCATTTTCGTTTGAGCTTTTTGTGTTTCGGGTCGACACACGCCGGCACGAGTTCAATGTGCGTTCGCATGCATTGGCAGACAAGATTTGAATGAGTCGCGTTCGTGAAGTCGTGTTTCGCTCAGTGCTTCATGTAGCGTATTCACGCCTTTTCTACGTGTGCTCGGCTGACTTTGTCGCTGTCAAGAGAGTACGTGCAGTTGTGTATGAAAAAGTAGCGGTCAGGAGTAACTGGCAGTGGAATTATTAATTGTCATGTATTTGTGTGTTAAAACAACTGGCAATAACCAATCAGTGGTAATGAGCAGCGCACACCGTTAATGAGTTTGGTGGCTGCGAAGTACGATTCTTGAAGTTTGTGAACCGCTGACCGGAGCATGCGCAACACGTGCCGCCCGCCACTGAGCGCCACATGTGCGCGGTCCCACCCACAGGCCAGCACACGCCACGCGCAACCCTCTGTAAAGCTCGCAGAGCAACGAATAAATGTCTTAACCAATCAACGTCAACCGATTAGTACATATGGCACGAGGGGGTAGTCGGCCGGGCGGCCGGCACGGGCCCAGCGGGCGGTGGCGCGCGGCCGCGGCCCGGCCTCAGCTGCCCGATACACGGCGCCGGCGAGTCTCACCGGCGCCCCACGTGACTTGCGACAGCCAGACACACCATGTTTCTACTGGCGGCCGCCGACGGACGCGGACCCAGCGCCGCGCGCGCCGGCCTTCAACACGCGCGTCAGGCCACGGCAACGAGCAACTCAGCGCCGCACCGTCGCAGGCCGCGAGCCTGCTGTCGGACGCGTCTCCTCTGCACGGCCTCCCCCACAGAACGTGGGGTCGCACGGCACCATCTGTTCAGTTCAGTTCTATACGCCTAACAAGCACAAAATCAACTCCATAAACAATTCAGTACACGCCGGGCGGCTCGTGCATAAAGTAAAAGCTCACATGCGTAAAAAGCACTGCGCGTGAGCTGCTGGGAATGGAGTGGAATGAGTGCAAAGCGACGCAAGCGCATGCTATCATAAGTAGGCGATAGGCCGCCGGCGCCACGTCAAGCACGGCTAAAACAATTATGACTGCTCGCCGCGGGGGAAGACTAATCTAGAGCCGGTGCGGCCGGGGGCGCGCGCTGGCGGGAGTGAGCTGCGGCGGCGTCGACGGTCGGCCGTGTCGGCTGAGGTAGTGACCGCCGCCGCGGATGGCACGGAGCGCAGCACGCCCCGGACCGGCTGGCCGGACCGGACCGGACCGAACCGGACCAGGTCAGACCAGACCAGACTAGACCGGCCCAGACCAGACCAGAATCCGCTGTGTCGCGCCGACGGGTGGCGGACGCGCGGCCTCGACTGCGCGGCCGCGCCAAACCGGCCACCAGCGAGACGTCAAACCGGGACCGCCCGGTGTCCACGACACCACGCGCACACGACACTGAAGAACACCTCGGCCAGACGCCCCGGTCGCCGGCCGGCGGGCGTCCCAGCAGCTGCGCACAGCGACGGCGGGTCACGCGAGGCCGGCCGCCGAACCGCTCAGCCGGCGCGGGAGTCTGAGCCGCGCGGCGCCGCAGTGGTTCCGGCCGCCGCTCACTGGCCTCGGTGTCGGCGCCTGCCCGGCAGGGGCGGCCCCGGCCCGCCGGCCGGTCGGCTCCCTGAGTGGGACCGCGGCGCCGCCGCCGGGCCGGGCGGGCCCCGCTCAGCCGGCCCCCGCGCCCGCTCCGCGTCAGCTGGTCGCCGCCGCCCGCTGCTTGGCCTCCTGCTCCTGCTGCCGCTGCCGCTGGCGCTCCGCCTTCTGGCGCTTCTTCACCTGCTTGTGGTGCTCCCGGGTCATCGAGTCCTCGTCCAGGTCTAGCTTGATCATCTGTGAAATGGGGCGGGGGTGAGGGAGGCACAGTGGGCAGCTTGATCCATATTTCAACCGGCTCTAATTAGGCCTCTGCCAGTTTCCGGTTTTATAAGTTGGACCAGTTTTTTACCGGTTTAAACACGCACCAGCTGGCAGAACGTCAGAATCATAACGTCCCCCTATTAACAACTATATGACATTGAAGTTATATGTATGTATATATGCAGTATCTTTCCATTAATACAGGTGTAAGCTTTTCGTTTCGGCGGTTTGGAATATTTTAAGTCATGCACTATATTGGCGCGTTTTACTCTCTCTGCTTTTGCTGTCAGGTTGTTTTTATGACGATTAAACTGACTTTCCGCTTTTGTAAATAACGGCAAGTTATTACCACAAGTTATTATATACAAGTTATACCATCGACTTCTGTTGTCTGTCGGTTTAACGTTTGCCCCGATGGCGCTTGAAAACATTTTTCACCGACCTTGCATGACAGGAACATCTGGCTTTCATAAAATAGCTGATGCATGGTCTCATATTGCGTCCCACTAGTCATGTAACAGGTACGGGCGCAGAACGACCATCGCAGTCTGCGCACCCTGAACACCCACTCATCATCATAATGGCTTTCCATCACGCGGTTTCGGGTTTGGCCGCGTCAGCCGGACCTGATCTCTTGGTCAGCTAGGCTGCTAATCAAGAGATCAGGAACCAGTATTTGCCTGCGCCGTCGAGATTCCTGGCGTATCCAGGGCCGATCAGAGCAACGACATCACTGGACGTGGATTAATACAGACGCATACGAGGAAACGCGTTATGTGCAGTATTCATGTATGCATTCGAGCGGCCTGCGTGTGATATATTTTATTCGTATGACAATGTTGCATAGCATTAGTATGTGGATACCAATGCTCAGTAAGAGTGCATGATCTAGCTACGGACGAGGAAGGCCTTGAGACCCTGGTTTTTCGAGATTGTGAGCTGAGAGTTACGTTGAAAACATCAGATCTGACCATGCACGGAAAATAACGACCCGTCAGTTCGTGACCATGAGCACAGCTTCCAAACGTTGAGGTCACTTAATATATAACGCGAATCCGTATGGTATAATGAAGGCCCATTATTTTCGGTGTATAACTCCCGACTCACTGTGATTTTGGTCACGCAAGTTCGTGTGTTGGTTGTGGGTGTTTTTTCTCAATGCGCAGCTTATGAAGGCCCACCGCCGAAAGCTATCCTTAATGCCAAAGTTTAGCTATTAAAACACTGCGGTTTTCAAGTACGCTGCTATAAGTACTTTGGACAAATCACAGGCCCGCGTTCCGTGGCATAACTTTGCAAGGTTTCTGATTTAACCCTCCCATACTACCACAATGGTTGGTGGGTACTGCAATTCATTATCACAGCCATTTATGACTTGTTTGTTTGTAACTTGTTTGCTTGTGAACATAACTTGCTTATGACTGCGTTTTGACAAGTTAATACGACTTCCGCAAAATACAGTGGTATTCCCAGATATTGGACTAAGCATGCCTAGTCCGTCATGAGGCTGCAACAAATGGATCGCCTGCCTACTGGCACAATCTTCATTTGGCTTGGTTTTGCTTGGATGATATAAATACAAATGTATCTCATGCCCCATTTTAACATATTCTGACACCATGCGGTTTTGTCAGTCATCCGTCACTCTTTATACATTTACACGTTTGGCATCGCGGTAATCATAACGATACCCAACATACGATTACTGTTATTGTTATACGGCTACATGAACTTCATTGGCTTACAATATGATCTCCTGGGCTTAAGTTTCAGCCAGTTCCCGTCAGTTTTTGCCACCAGTTGTTTTTGCTAGCCGGTTTTCGCCGGTAACAACGGCTTAAACGGGCTAAAGCCAGCAGAAACACTGCTGGCATCAACTGTTTAGTCCATAGCTGTCCACCCAGGTTCGCAATGCAACGAATAGGGACGCACAGACGACCAGCCGCGTGCCCACAACAGCTCAAGATGGACCAATGTGATTCAAGCACACACACGCAAGCTTAAACATCTCAGCACGATTCGATGTACTGCGCTTTCTTTTCATTTCGCGAAAAGAAGCGCAAAGGCTCTCAAACAAAACACAATGGTAGGTGGATACTCTGCCTCGCCAAAAACGCGAGACAAAAAAAAGTTTTCCGGCCTTCATCTGCCTGAGGGCAGCGTCAGACGAGCCTGGGGCTGTAGGGGAGGTGGAGGAGGAGGGAAGGGCGTTACCTGGTGCACGAGCGCCGTCTCGTGCATGATCTCCGGCGGCAGCGAGCGCAGACACTCGACCGTCTCGTACATGCTGGGGCACTGCTTCATGATGCCGCGGCGGCCGAGCGCATACCGGATCAGCACCAGACCCACGCGGAACAGCACCTTCACGCCTGCGGAGGTCACGGCCGGTGACGGCGGCACGTCACGCCCGTGACGTCACGGCGGTCCCAGCGCCGCGGTCCGACGCACGGCGGGACGCGAGCCACAGCACATACCGTCGCACGGACTTCGGAGGTTGACGCTACGATCCGACACCAGGCGATGTAAATGTCTGAAGTCGAGGTGAGCAACCAACAGCACGCAAAGACACACTAAGGTGTCGAGCTGCGTTTGCTTAAATAACGCCTTAGATCGAGTCTTGGCAAAACGACAGGAGCAAATTTTCTCAGGATTTTTTTTCTTGCCATTAAAAGGTTGCACATCTCGTTAACATCTTCTGCGAAACTCTAAAAAGAAAAACAGCGGCGATGACAGAGCGGTGGCGGAGCGGCCGGGTTCGCTGACCTTCGCAGAAGAACATGTCCCAGACGCGCAGCACGGACGCCCAGGGCAGCGTGCGACTGAAGATGCACATGAACCACTCGACCATGTACAGCGCCGGGTCCACCTTCTGCTTCTTCTGCGGACGGGGAGGCGGACGATTACGTCCGAGACGAGCGAGACGACACGACATACAGCGGCTGGCCACCAGCTGAGGTGGGCCGCCCAGCGACGGTGGAACAACACGTACCGCCGCCGGTGGGCTCCAAAAACGCCGCTGGCATGTGTTGGCCGAGACTTAATACGCCTATTCCAAGAGATGCACACTCACGGCGTAGATACAGGCTTCGATCGATACATAGATTTTGTTGACATTTGGGCGTGCGGTGCTCCCGGCAGGACCAAAGACCAGGCTGACGGAGCCGCCTGGATGCCCAGCGGCCCCGCTTGGAGACCCAGCGGCCCCGCCTGGAGGTCTGGAGACCCATCGGCCCCGCCTGGAGGCCCCGGCAGCCCCGCCTGGAGACTCGGCGGCCCCGCCTGGAGGCTTGGAGGCCCGGCGGCCCCGCCTAGAGGCCTGGAGGCCCAGCGGCCCCGCCTGACGGCCTAGCGGCCCCGCCTGGAGGCCTGGAGGCCCGGCGCCCCCGCCAGCGCCGGCGACCGACTCACCAGGTGTCGGTAGACGTTGGGCGACACGCGCTTCACCAGGCCCTGCAGGATGTCGCCGTCCAGCTGCACCCGCTCCATGCCCGGCCCGTAGTACATGGGCAGGTACTCCTTGCAGATGGAGACCAGGCACCAGAAGGCCTGCTCGGTCGGCATGTGCATGAGCAGCACGGC